TGCGATCACATTTTGTGTACCCGAATACTATCACATGATAAATGATCGTCATAACCTGGCACAGAATTCGTACGTGCCTTGTCACGTCCCTAATCGTAATTGTTGTGATTTCGTTGATGTTCTGACTATACAAAGAAATAAATACAGAGCTATAGGCTTATAAAGATGACTACGCATTTTCATTGTAAATTACTTTTATGTCGTAATCGTACTAAAAGAGCTGAACTTTAAAAAATCACAATGGAACCCTTTTTGTCCCTTTTAGTTCGTTTGTGAAATAGTCGATTAGAATTACAATGAAGGTTCAGATTTGCCATTTTTATTTAGGGAAATTCTATTTTTCACCTGGGTAAAGTTACCCAAAATATTACTAATAATATTAATTTTAGTTACTTAAATAGCATTATAGTTTATCAGGTGATTTTAACCTGGGTGAAAATAGAATTTCCCTTTTATTTATGCTTTTCTGAAAATGTGTTTCATGAGAGTTGACACACTGTATTGGTTTGAGATTTTTATTAGATGGTAATTATCCGATATGATATATATTTCAATGTTTGTCAATATAAAATTTGGGTCGGTGAACAACATTCTTATAAACAAAGAATTTTGTTAACAATTTGCAATTAATATTTAATAAATAATTAATTAAATTAAAAGCTGAATGAATGTATTTCTGCAATAAAACACTACAGACGTATAATGTAGATCGTTTTCTTAATTTTTAAATTGGTTGATTAAAAATAAACAACCACGTGAACAATGACAGTCCTTTGAACCTTTAATAATTTCTACAGTATTTCCTAATTAATATAGTTTAATATTAACATTCCCAAGAGAGCAATAGAGAATAGAATATGCAAAGTTTATAGAGTGCCAACACAGATATGTATATAATTTATATATATGTGCAGTGTACAAAAATATAAAACGAAGTGATGTCTAAAAATGTACAAGTCTTCTGGATCTCGTCTAAATATAATCAAAAACAAAATTCCAAGAAAAAAAATCAGCTAGAAATTTAGGCTAAATTCATTGAAGCCAAGCACTGCTAATTCAATACAAACCAGAATGTATCAAACGCAAGTATCATCGATACAGAGTTAACAACATTCATCTCCACAGCATTTATCGTGGCGGTCACAACAACTGCTTCCGCAGCATTTTTCGTAGAGTTCACAACAAACGGTTCCGCAGCATTGTTCGTCACTATTGCAATAGCAAGATTCTCTCGCAAGCGGAGTAATATCAGTGTTATGATTGTTGTTGTCACTATTTTTTTGATATCTTTTCCATTGCAAAGATGATGTGGTAGTAATAAAGCTGTTGATAATTACGATTGTGAAAATAAAAATTAATGCAAATTTTTTCATGGTATTTGTAGGATCAAACCTTTTTTTTTTTTATTGATACAGTATTTATATTAAATGGCATGATAAAGCTTTGGTATTTTGAAATTCAAAATTTCAAGTATCCTGTTACCTAAAATTAGTTAATTATGGTGTATGATGTACATTACCTAAAATTGGTTAATTATGGGTGTATGATGCACATTATCTAAAATTGGTTAATTTGAATTGGTTAATTAGAAGCATGAGTTAATTTTAGACGACATTATTGCAACGGAAGCCTTGAATCCCATAAGGAAACAATTGGTTTTCTCTTGGTGTACAATTGGTTTTCTTTTGGTGTCACTTATATCCACATAACGATAAACAGCACCGATTGTAAAATTGGCATAATGATAGTGCAGCAATGAACTAATT